GGAGATTGGGAGAAAGTCTAACAGAGAGGGGAAGGGAGTTCCATAGGAACTTTAAGGTGAGCATCAGAGGTAGAAGTACGAACAGAGGTTAGACGTAGGTCTCCTGCAGAGCGGAGGGGCCTAGACGGAACATATTTCTGTATTAGTTAGGATTAGTAGGTCGGAGCAGCATTGTGTAGAGATTTGTAAGCAAGCATCAATGTCTTAAATTGAGTACTATATCTTACGGGAAGCCAATGTAGGGGCTGACAAAGGTGGAGGCGGACAGAAAGATGAGCCTCACCGCCGCATTCATTATAGACTGTAACTGGGAGGTTGGGAACACGTAAGACCACTGAGAAGCAGATTACAGTAGTCAAGGCGAGAGAGGACAGTGGCAAGGACCAGCACCTTTGCCGTATCAGGCATTAAATAGGGTCAGATGCGCGCAATGTTTTTGAGATGGAAGCAGCAGGATTTGGCGATTGATTGGACATGAGGGGTGAAGGAGAGGTCGGAGTCAAAGAGAACACCGAGGCAGCGAGCCTTAGAAAGTTAATAGATAAGCTAGAATTGGGAAAAATGAGGCCGGGACCTGCAAATTTTAGATCACAATAGCCCTGTTGGGGACTTTTTCTTGCTTGGATTAGGTATAAAAGTTATTTATCCAATCAAAATAAAACGGGTTGCAGCCTTTCAGTTTTTAAATTTGTTCTTTAGTTACCAACAGCTGTATTTAGATTAGAATTCTTAATAGCAGAGCAGAAAGGGTTACATAGGTTTAATGCGGGAGATTCGAATTTAAATGGTTATTTACTAAACTGAGAAATGACCGTTTGGTAGATTTTAGGGATAAAATTACAGAACTGGAAAAATTCTTCACCTTTATTATATCTCAATCTTGACCTAATATTTGCAGTTCCCAGTGAATTACCCTAAAGGTGTTTGTAGTTGCAGTTGCCTGTTCATTGTAACTGCCATGGCAGCCTATTTAATTGAATAGCTTATTTAATGTTTCCCCTTTGTTGGCTCTCTTCTGCCCTCTGTCTTGCAGTTAGCAAGTATCTTACTCATTATAGTCGTGATGAGTTATGGTCCTTTGTATATTACTATTAGCATTATTCTTATTAGCATTTAGATAGCACCGACTTATTCCACAGCATTTGTTTCAGTGAGTATAAACATTCCCTTTTTGTAGTAAACGTTTTCTTTTCAGAGAAAATGCAGTGTTTACATTACAGCCTGATAACTCCACTGGACACTCCTCAGATAGAGGTTCCTTCCTGGGGCAGTGTATCCACCCTCTGCATGGAGACCCTGAACTTTCCTCATAGAGATGCATTGATTCAATTCATCTCTATGAGAAGATGCTGATTGGCCATTGCTGTGTTTGGCTTGTACTGGCTCTGCCCTTGATCTGCCTTCATGACCCCGTCAGCCAATCCACTGCTTTTGTCAGCCAAGCAGGCAGATAAGGGGCAGAGCCATCAGCAGCAGATTGGAATTTAGGGGGACAAGAGGGGCCTAGGGGGCTAGATGGTGTTTTTAACACTATAGGGAATACATGTTTGTGTTCCTGACCCTATAGTGTTCCTTTAACAATAAATGAGACATTACAAAATGTTGCAGGAACAATAAGTTGATGAGGACCCTGCTCGAACGAGCTTACAGTCTATGTCCAGAACTTTTATTTAAGGACCAAAAACTAGACACCGATCTATCCGATCCATCAGTTGTCTCTGTTGCTTAGTCTGAGAGCATCCACTAATTTTCCATTTCTAAAGTAAATATATTGATGAGTAATTTGACTCTTATATTTTTTTTTTTTTTTATTTGTATTCACCCACCACCCAAATTAAAATGATGATTAAAATGATATCCAGTGATCTTGTGAGTTTACATCTGGATGTTAGATTTGGGAATAATAAGATGGGGGTGTCCGACATAGAATTTCAGCATCATTAACAGATGATGATGATACGTCCCTCTTATTAATGCCTATAATTTTACATCTGTATACCCGATCTTTTATCAGATATGAGATACAATCCGCTGTGTTTATACACTGAATGATTTTCAGTATTTGTTCTGTTTTTCCTCAGCCGAGGCTGCATGCAGAATCTTTCGGATTTCTTCCGTTGCCGCTGCTTTGGGTTAATCAAGCACGATCCTGTTGATTGGACTAAGCAGTTCCACGGTGTATTCCATGCTTCCATGATGCGAAACGCACACACGGTGTAAAGGTTTTGTGGGTGTCTATACTTCATTTAGCTTTTCAAGAACATTGTCGAAGCACTAAATGTTAGCAGTCCACGTGGCCCCAATAACCGCATTGCCACGTGAAAAGGAGACATCTAGCCGCATGACCAGAAATTAATCCACTTCTTCAAGCACTTGGTTTTCTGTTCCGGTGTGACTAAGGCACCTTCAGATGCAGACAGAGAGGGCTCTAATATCATGACTTCGGCCAAGAGCCATCGCACATTGCTAGTTATTACTGGAGAAAATCCATGGGCGATATTGTTTTGCTCAGAAACAATTCAGATATAATGGTTTTTATTTTCAAGTGAAATTCTGTAATGTGTTTGAATTTATTTTTTTGCCCAATGTACAGCTATAGACCGATAACCGAATCATTAAGCTTCTCGAATATTTGGAGGGTACACCTGGTGCAGCCATTTTGAACTGGCGGCTTAAGATGTCTTTCCTTTTTACAAGCCCGAGTAGCTTGTCGTACGAGAGCCAGTGCTGCAGCAATGGCAGCTTTGTATGTAACATTAGTCTATAGCTGCAGTTTACCTAAATCTGCTCCTACTGTAAATTTTAATCCCCCATAGTATTGTAACATCCCCATCCAACATCCAGTAACAGATCGCCATTTCACTGTACAAGGTGAGTTTCCTTATATGAAAATCTGTTTTCCTGTAAATAATAATGAGCGAACATATAACCTTTTTACGGCAGATGACATGCCCAGATTTTCACACTATAAAAAAGGAATGTGCCTAGCCTGTTATGAAGGGGTTAAAGAAACTAAAGAGAAAATATATCCTCAGAAGGACTATTCGAAGAACTTGTCCCACATTTGATGGGTCACTTTCTTAATGGCATAGCCTTAAAAATGATTCCTTCCTAAAGTAGAATTTTGAATTTGCCCACTGCCTGCTGGTGCCTGTCTGTCCCATATTAAAGCATATTCAGATGCAGGGATTATCGCAGACGTGGAATAAGCTGCAAAACATATTGTTGCTGTACAGACATTCTAATCGGAGTTAGCGAAGGGTGCAAGACTTACTTTTTGTATTCCTTGGTTAAATTATTAATTCTGTTGTGTGCTATTTAATTGAGGGTTTTCCTAGTTTGCCTGTTTAATAAAAACTTTCTTAGAAACTGTTTTCCTTCTCTTCCAAATGCAATGGATTCCTCTACGTGAGATTGGTAAGTAAATGACACTGGATGGGGGTGGGGGCCTAAAGACTCGTCATATGGTTTACTGAGCTGTGAACCCAAGCCTTGTTACCTACAGACAATCCAGGTGGGGGTGCTTTATGTGATAAGGTGCACACCCTATTATCTCCAGCTCTGGAATGTGACCCTTATACCAATTTCAAGGACACAAAATCAGATAACATAATAGCAGGGGCGTACCTGGAGCATTTGGCACCCGGGGCGGATCCTTTATTTGGCACACCCCCCCTCTCTCCCCCAAACTTAAAATGGAAAAAACAACCACAGTATTTAGCACTGAGCAGTGTTTGTATATTTTTAATGTAAGCATGTTTTTGTATGGAGTATGTGTGAGTGAATGTATGGGTGTGTTTGCACGTATTGGCATTTGAATGCAGGCGTGCATTTTTCTGTAGTGTGCTTTTTGAATATGGTGGTGTGTTTATTTGTAGTGTTGACATTTGGATGCAGGGTTGTATTTGTGTGTAGTTTAGGCGAAATGCTGAGATGTATGCACATACACACATATACTCAGAGATACACACACTGGCACACATACAGATACACAGACACATAGGTACACACATGCAGTTACATAGAAACACAGTCATACACAGACACAGAAAAATACTGACACATACAGATACAAACACACAGAGAGACACACAGGCACACATACAGACATATACATACAGATACACAGACACACCAAAACAAACACAGACACACAAACAGATATACAGATACACATGTATAAGTGTGTGTTTGCGCAGTGAATGCAGTGTGTTTGTGTAGTGAATGCAGCTTGTGTGTATAATGAGTGCAGTGTGTGTATAGTTTGTGTGTGTTGTGTGGAACAAGTGCTGGGAAGGTGAGCAGTGTGTATGGTTTGCCCCCCACCCCCCTTGACACTTACCTGTCCCTCCCATCCTCCTCGACTGGTGGTCTGGTGGCACAGCTTTAGTTGGGCAGTGAAGAGGGGCCCAGTACTCTCCATGCTCATTTCCCATCCAGCAGCAGCAGCAGGGTCATCTGTTCTCGTGATCCGCGAGAGCGTTGCCACGGGTTGCCATAGCATGTGTGTGTATATATATATATATATATATATATATATGTGTATATATAATTGGTTAGGGGGTGTATATATGTCTGTATGTTAGAGATATTGACTGGAGGGGATGTGTATATATAGTGGTACAGGGTTCATGTATGCTATTTTCAGTGTATATGTCTGTGTGATATATTGCATGTATATGTCTGTATGCGACATTAATTAGGGGTGAATGTCTGTGTAAGATTAGGGGGTCTGTATATGATGCTACAGGCTTCATGTATGTATTTTATTATATGTATGTGTGCAAGGGATGGATTGAATGATGGGCATGTTTTGTCTGGCTGGTGCGTATTATATAATTTATGGACGTCTTTATTTTTTTAGCATATAATACAATGTGACTTTATTACAGTGAGAATTAGATTGACCAATGGGTGTTTTGTTGGCACAGTACCCAGTAAGATATTGATGCAGGCGGCCAAGCCTCATTGCAGAGTGATTTAAAAAAGCACAGTGTAGCAATTTTTTTCTATATTTTATTAGGTTGTCATCCTAAGACACATTGTTTGCCCTCGATTTACGTAATCCGTCACTCTGTAACGTGGGACGTCGAACACATTATCACGTTTGTCCCCTGCACTATTTGCCCACAAACTGGTCTCCACTCTGCACCCTCTGATTTAAGATTAACCCATTCAGTGGATATTGAATACGGAAGGAGGAGAACATGCACTTTTCTGCTCGGAATCCATATTCATTGTATTTCTAACTCTGTGGTAGATTCTCCGTAATGAAGAAAACGTGGTCGGTTTGTTTATACTGAAAGCTGTGCATCCAGGAGAGGTAATCATAGATAACTACTTCAAAAAGGGGAGCCTCCAGTACAGCCATTCATATTATGCTTCTTTCTGTTCCACTTGTGTCAGGCCGCCAAAGCCAATCCCTTTTGGACCAAAGTTTTTAGCGTAGCAAACTGGAGAGGGAGACATAGTGGGTTAAGTAACATTTCATTGGCATCACCCTCAGTCAGAGAACTTAAGATATCACCAAGGTTCACCTACCTAACCTGCAAAACTTTTTTTTTTTATGTGGTTGAGCAATGTTGGGTCAGGCTCTACTGTTATCTGGCCAACTGCTGCCAGCTGCATTCCATGACGGGCCAGTGGGGAGAGCCACTTCCACAGACATGCGGCTGGGGAGGGAGATAGAGCTCCACCGGGTCCTCTTCTATCTGGCAGCTCTGTTGGGTTCCTCTCGCGAGATCTGGAGCGATGACATGGCAACGCCCCCGATCTCACAAGAGTGAACTCTAGCCTCACAGGCTAGAGTTCACTCACCACTAGCACCACCAGGGATGGCAGCACAGTCCCCCCCAGGCTAAAGGTAAGAAGGAAGAGGGGGAGAATATAATGCCTGTTTTTTTGTTTGCTTGTTTTTTACCCCCCCCCCCCCACCACACAATCCCTCCTATCATATACACACAACACTCTCACACACACTGCACCCCCCTCACACATACACACAGAACCCAACCAACACACTGCGCCACTTACACACACACACACACACACACACACAATACTTCCAAACATTATACACTACTGCACCCCTAAACAAATTACATTTCAGACACATACTAGATCCCTTACCCAACTCTGGATCATATATACGAACACACACACACACACACTAGATCCCTATATACATTCTGAATCCACTATATACACACACATTCACTACATCTCCTATACACATTCTGGGTCCTTCAAACAATTAAGGTAGGTTCTCTCTAACCCCTCTCAACCTCACCCACCACCCTCAGGATCACTCCCCCACACCACCCTCAGCATCACTCCCACACCACCCTCAGCCTCTCCTCCACCCACAGTACCACCCTCAGCCTCACCCCCCACCACCCTCAGCCTCACCACCCTCAGCCTCACCCCCCACCACCCTCAGCATCACTCCCCACACCACCCTCAGCCTCTCCTCCCCACACCACCCTCAGCCTCACCCTCCCTCACCACTCTCAGCATCACCACCCCCACCACCCTCAGCATCACCATCACCCCCTACCACACCATCCTCAGCTTCTCCTCCCCACACCACACCACCCTCAGCATCTCCTCCCCACACTACACCACCCTCAGCCTCACACCACACCACAATAAGCTTCTCCCTCCCCACCACCTCAGCCTCATCACACCCTCAGCCTCCACCACCACCCTCAGCATCACCACCCCCACCACCTTCAGCCTCCCACCACTCTCAGCATCACCCCAACACCCTCAGCCTCACTAGCCCCCACCACACCACCCTCAGCCTCTCACCACCCCCCTCTTCCCACACACCACACCACCTCAGCCTCTCCTCCTCACACCCTCCAGCTTCTCCTCCCCACCCACACTACCCTCAGCCTCACCCCCCACACCACACCACCCTCAGCCTCACCCCCCCACCACCCTCCGCATCATCCTCCCTCTCACATTACCATCACCCCCCTCTCATCACCACCCCCCATACACACAACACACTTCAAGCAGCTACCCCATACAAATAGGGTCTCAGACAAAAACGCAAACATGCTCACAGAGACATACACACACACACACACACACACACTCTGTCAGACACACTCTCAGACACATACACAGGTAAACTGTGCATCAATGTGACACTTTTTTGTTAGGCGAAACTCAAACATGAGGCCCCACTAAGGCCTCATAAAGTCTAGAGCCGCCTCTGGCCGCTGTGATTTTTTTCCCCTCAGTCCGGCCCTGGTTACTACACTCTCTATAGAGATGCTAAACATTCCCCCGGAGAGATGCTGAGCACCCAGCGCCGATCTCAACTTCCCCCAGGAGCCAACAAGCTTCTGAAATATAAGCTTCAGGAAGTGCGGAGTGCCGCCGGGGAGGGGCGCTGCTGTTTGGCTGAGAGTGGTCAGTGGTATCCCATTAAAAGCTTAAGAAAGCTACTGCTCCTCATCCATTGTAAATGTGGAGATCAATGAATTGCAAAATATCAGGCCATGCAAGCTGGAGACCTGAGACATTGATATCAGTCCAGGACAATATTAATGTAATGATAAGAATCTAAACTGATTCGTTGATGTAAGTATTACAAAGCTGGATGGTACTTGGTTTATTGATATTGGAAGGAATTAAACTTGATGTTATAGTAGGCACTATACATTGCAGGTACAGCACTAACCACTGACCTACTGTGTGGGCGAGAAGGTTTTTTTTTAGCTTTATGTGACATCACAAGGTTAAATAATTCCTGCAGAAACCTTTTAAGACTTCTCTATGACATCCCGACTCTGTCCTGGTACTTTATACTGACCTTTACAGTAAATCTCTCCGTCCTTCTCTGTCACCGTCGTGGAATCGAGACTCTTACCACAAAAAGCACATCGGAAGCAAGTTTTATGCCAAGGCTGCAAGAGACAGAGAGAGAAAAGACTGTATTAACCAATAAACCAAACTGCAACTATTTCCAATAGACTGTAAGCTTTTCTGGAAAATATTACGTTTCCTTAAAGCAATACTATAACTTGTTAGAAACATTTAAATACATAAAGGGAATCAACACAGTAAAGGAGGAGACTATATTTAAAAGAAGAAAAACTACCACAACAAGAGGACATAGTCCTAAATTAGAGGGGCAAAGGTTTAAAAATAATATCAGGAAGTCTTACTTTACCGAGAGGGTAGTGGATGCATGGAATAGCATTCCAGCTGAAATGGTAGAGGTTAACACAGTGAGGGAATTTAAGCATGCGTGGGATAGGCATAAGGCTATCCTAACTATAAGATAAGGTCAGGGATTAATGAAAGTATTTTGAAATATTGGGCAGATTAGATGGGCCGAATGGTTCTTATCTGCCGTCACATTCTATGTTTCTATGTAAGTATCACAGAATGCCATGCAATATATATGCAAAATAGCCCACATAACACAGTTACCGTTTGAGATTCCCACATGGAATTTTTGCAAGCCTCCTTAGTTATGACCTTTGATTTATAACGTGGATTAGCATCATTATAAACGAATAACCAGACGTGGATAAAAAAGCCATAATGATGGAAACAGTAACCTAATAACTTACCAACCCGCCACCCATCACTTTCTCCGCAGCATAGACAGATTTACCACATCTGGGGCATTTTTCTGTGGCACCAAACTTTTGTGAAAACTTAGAAGTGTGCGTGGTTGTGGGTGAGCCACGAGCTGGGAGTGACCTGTGAAAATACACCATAATTAGTGCATTAAGTACTGAGAAACATGCCCTTCTAGAAATGTTGAAATAAACCAGTTGCATGGTGGAGCGGGTTTCACTGTAAACATTACCTTGCACATACCGTATATCACTACACAAGGCTGGTTATTCACTTAACGCTGAATTGATGGTAAAGTTTAGTTGATTTAGAAAATTTCGCCTAAATTCTACAATTTTTAATTGTACAATATAATTTCCAATTCACTACTATTTCGTTTTTTAAACCTTCAGCTAAGACTATAAACTGGATGATTTAATGATCAGATCTTGTACAATTCACTGAGGTGATTATTGAGATGCGCTGATTGCTTTATGATTAATCATTACTGTTTCTCGCACTGTAGCGATCCCAGATTTAATTCATTGAACTGGATTTTACAAAACTGGATTCTTTATTATTATTGTTGTTATTTAGGGAAAGCCAACTAATTTCACAGCAATGTACCCTGTATTACAGCCTTCAGACGGTGCCCTTTTATAGAAAACACCATATCATACCTCCCAACTGTCCCTATTTAAGAAGGACAGTTCCCAAATCCCTCGGTCCCTCTTTTCTCTCTTCGTGTCCCTCTTTTTTAGGAGCTCCATATTGTTGGTGTGTCTAAGTGTATAACGGAGCTCCACAGCAATAATATGCATGATGCAGCATCTGGCACTGCTCCCACTTACTACTTGCTATGGCGGCTTGATGGTCCCTCGACGGTGAATCGCGAAAACAAAAACTTTTGCCGCCCTAACCACGGTGGATGTTCAGAGGGATGAGAGCCAGAGAGCGCAGGAGACTCCCTCGGGCCAAGCTGTTGCGTAACTGCCCGTATTCCCCGCTACTGTCCTGGGCCGAGGGCCACCAAGGGCTTGTCCCAGAGTCATCGCCCACACCGACGAAGGACCCACCGCAAACCACAGGGACCCCCCGCTACTCCCAATCTGGGAGGGACTTGACCCATCAATGATAACGGGTCAGTGGACCGAAGATGCCGGCCTCTATACCGGTCTGGGGCTGGAGGGTGATTTTACTTCGCTGCCAACGGGCCGGGAACAGAGAAGTACTTTACACAGGGGTTACAACAGGGCCCATCCTGATGGACTTAGCTACAACTACCCACCGGCAGCACCTGGCAACCCAGCCTCCATAAGGGGCATCGGCTGATTCACTTGGCGCACCCAGAGACTCTTACCCATGCAGTCTCCCATGGGACTTCCAACTCACGCAGAGAGTCACTGGAGCCCCTGTCCCTTTACCAGCAGCACCACTCCACCTTGTGGGACTAGCATCTACCTGTTGCTGTTACCGGCTGAACGACCCCCAAGCATCGCCTCATCTCCCATGTTTAGCCTGACCTCATTTTATATTCTGCTTGCCTTTATTTCCTTGCTAGCTCTTTGTTTGTTTGTTTGTTAATCTTACCTAAGATTCTGGCGGTACACTATTAGTGGTGACTAATGCATACCCAGTGGTAACCCTCCTACTGCTAAGGGCGACTTAAACTTGAAGCTACCCCATACACAAAGATCCCCTCGTTATTATCCTGTACTTACACTGTCTATTTTATAGCATCTTAGTCGCACTCACTACTTCTAACACATATGTCTAGCACTCCATAACTACCTTGCTTCCGCCATAACTAGATGCAGCACTAGACATAACAACATTAAGCCTATTTATATACTTCAAAAAAATGTGCAACTTCCCATGCCACCGACAATCCTGTATATTCATGTATGCTGATGTGGTGTTTGATGCTAACCTGTACCTACCTGCACAAAAAAATTAAATAAACTACAATAAGTGTTTAGAAATCAGTCTGTGTAAATAAGATACATTAAGTTCCACAAATTATTAGTAAGTTATCTAACACTTCTCAGAACAGCCCCGCCCCTGGCCACACCCCCCACTCACACCCCCTAAAATTACAGTGTCCCTCTTTGTCCATTTGAAATGTTTGGATGTATGGCAAGTTAAGTGGTACTAGCAGTTTATAATCATTTTCTCTGACTGAGATACTATTTATGTACTTATTGCTGGACTAGTTATGTTAAGGATTGACAAATGTAACTAAGGGGCAGATGCACTAAACAGCGTTCAGTAAATATATCACATCCACAGGTACAGTGAGTTAAATATCTTATTTTAAATAGTAATCAACAGTTAATGACAATTTGTCTCCAGACTTATTTGTTAATTGCAATTTAAAATAAAATTTTGAAGTCACCATAACTAGTAATGTGATCCCTTTGCTAAGCACTGTTTAGTGTGCCTGCCCTTTTTTAATATGGTTTGAGTGTTTTTTTAATTTTGTTGGCGGGGGGGTGGGTAGGGGTGGAGGGGGTCCTGCTCCCTAAGAAGTAATTTAAAGATGCTCTTTCATTTTTAATGTCTACACTAAGGGTTGTACCGCTTACCCTTTAATAATTATGTCCACTCTCATCTCATAGCACAGAGGATACACTAGGAAAAACAAAATGGCAAAATACAATGTCCCCCCCACCCCCACCCCATATGACCTTATTACTTGCAGGACACATTACAGTATACATTAATCACTATGAAATTATCAAATTTCTCTAACCCCATTCCTTTTTGAAAATCACTCACAATTAGCTCATATTTTACTAAATATTATGTGTATAATTAAAAAGGAAGAAAAAATATATCTATACATTGTTGCAATTGTATATTTACAGTATTGTAGTATATACAGTTGTAGTATATATATTTACAGTACTCTATAAAGCAAGATGTTGGTATCCCACTTCTGCCACCATAAGTGACTGGAGTAAGCAGGACTCACTGTGCCACTTCTATGCCAAAACGTTCTCCTGTGTCTGTGCTCAGACACCCAGCACCTTGTCCGTAACCATAGCCTTTGGGTCCATACTTCCTTCCATAGCAAGACTTGCAGTAAATTTCAGACTCGTGGGCAGCTACAGTGGTGCTATCCAGGGCCTTCCTGCAGACCACTGCAAAACAAAGTCCAGTCATTGAACCATAGTCAGTTATGTTTTGGATTAGGAGAATTGTCTATTCATCCATAGATTTTCTGGATTCTTTCAGTGGTTAAAATCAATCATTCCAGTCTCGTGTCATCAGATGTCAATAGATCAGGAACTAATCCTGAATCAATACACTCTAAACACACACAATAAATAGAACTAGGGTTTACTTACTAAAACTAGAGAGATGACAAGGGGTTTGCAAATTTTAGGTCAATTGAACCGGACTAGAAAATTAATTAAATTGGAGATTTCTTTTTTCCATTTGTCTATTTTGTCATTGGGAATCTACCTCAATGTCTTCATAGATCTTGTGGGTTTCTAATTTCTCATTTATTAATGAACAGCTAAATTGGGGAAATTACCTACTATGCTCTTTGTCTCTATAGCAGTCTTCCCCAAACTCCGGGCCTCCAGATGTTGCTGAACTACAACTCCCACGATTCTCAGCCTATTTCATTCATAGAATCATCAGAGTTGTAGTTCAGTAACATCTGGAGGGCCGGAGTTTGGGGAAGCCTGCTCTATAGTATTACGTGATCTAGAACAGATTGAGAGAACTGGATGCATAGATACTTGCATAAATTAATCCAGTTAAATGTATTTTAAAATGTAGGGCTCATTCTTAGACTCTTTTCACACTTTGTCCCATTGTATAACAACATAATTGGGGGGCGGGGAGATATTTTGATCTATAGGATCCTAATAATTTTCCCTTTCCCTCCCAGACAATGAACGTGAACATTGTGCATCAGATCTATTAATAAATAATAATACAAATTATAAATGATTAATTGCTGCTCCCACACTGTGTTTACCTCTTTCAAAAATCACTCAACAAAATACTAAAATGTAGCACTGTGATATGTGAAAATCACCCTTAAAAATACAATTTTTTTTAAAAAAAATTCATGAAACTTGGAAAGATACACGTTTTTTTTTTTTGCAGTGCAATATAGAATGACATACAGGCCTGAGGTGCCCCAAAGGCAGTCCTCTGGCTGAACTTTACTGTAGATTTGACATGCACAATTTTTTAGTATAGAGAACATAAGGAAAACAGCGGTTACATTCCACAAGAGATTTAAGCATAGAGTGGAGCAACAGATAAACATTTGACTAGCCAGGCTTTAGGTATATGTTTTACAACAGGCTATGAAACTGGCAGCATATTGATAAAGTAGGTTTAACAAATTAGTGATTCAAAGGTAGGTTACGGTATCACTGGGTGCAGATACAGTGAAGCTATGCGTGGTATGGCTCGAAAAGGAAAGTACAAGACACAGATGCAGAGTATAACTATTAGGCATGTGCTTCAGTATAAGGTATGAGTTCACTCTGGTTTGGAGGGCTCAATGTGTGGCCGTCTGCACGCTTAGAATCACAGTTCCAGCTGTGTCCTCAAGCCCTGCCAATTCCCTCTGTGGGGTAGTCGCATGTGCCTTCCAGCAGGTCACGGTAAGCCGTTGTCGTGGTCTCCCTGCGCTTTCGGCACCGTTTACCCGTGCGGGCCTCTGCATACCTTGGCGGCTGGGCTGCTTGCTGTTTAGTTTGTTGTTTGGCAGTGAGCATCCAGGCACCGCAAGCTGTGTTGGGGATGCTTGGTGCATAGGGGCTGCGCTTGCTTGTGCCGGCCGCCATCCTCCGCCATCTTGGGTGTATCTTGCTGCCTCATGGTGATCGAAAGCAATGGTGGCCGGCTGCCTGTGGTACCCAGCGAGGTCTGGGATAACCCCCGCCTGTCCAGAAGGGGTAGGGTTAGAGGTGAGTACGGTGAGGTTGCCATCTGCAAGGTTACCATCCAGGAGAGCGGCCGCCTCTCCCTGGCTCGCCGCTCGATTGCAGTTAGGCCTCAAGCTGGAATCGTGGGGACCCGGTGAGTTGCGGGTACAAGTTTGGTATCAAAACGGTTTCCCGGGTCTCCCTCACTCTGTAGTCACCTTCCCAGCGGTGTGCGTGCAATGATTTGGGCTATATCCCCCGTTTTAGTGGCTGGCTTGCAGGAGCTATCGTGCAGCACGTCCACCCTGCAAGGAAGTAAGGCTCCGCCCCCAAGATAAGCGTTTTTTTAAGGGTGGTTTGCACATATTATAGCACTTCTCTTACTGCTACATTCCAATATCTTCTGTTCTAGACCTCTGATATAACAGGGTGTATACACAGATTGACTGCTCATACCAATTTATGGCAAGCTGACTATTCAGATAAATTGTAGATTTGCCCAAGACACCTATTACGGCCTACATCTAACTACAACTTATTGTTAATGTATCAACAGCTGGTATTTATTTATGTTTCTACAATAGAACAAGGTTTTGTTATCACATACTAAATGTTGTTTTTTTAGTTCTAGAATTGTTCTTTCCCCGTGTGTGGGAGTGTTGCTGATATTAAAGCCACGCAGTAGATAAAGCCCATCTATTCTTGGAAGCCCCAGCCATTTGGCACAACAGATGCAACTAAAGGGCTTTGAAGTATCATTTGTCAAAATATCTGTAAGGCTCGTCATCTCCCGGTTTCACATCAAGGGTCTGAGATCAGGGGAACTGCGGCCAAATATGTCTGATAATGCTCAATATGGCTAATAATAAATTCACAGAGCGCATGGGACAAATAGATAACAGTATAAACTCCGAACAAGTTTTAGCATATATACAATAAACATGCAGTAATTGGGGCAAGACTATAAAACTATAATTATATGTATATACATATAATAATAAAATGTTATACATATTATAAAAATGACAGAAACAAGTAATTATGGCAGATTGTGACCAACCCACAGGGAATGATGGACCTAGACTAGAAGCCTTGGAGTTATGTCAGGAGACATATTGAGATTTGGTCTGCAGTCAGGAAACGTGTGAGTTTAATGTATTTTTTTTTATTTTTCTCTGTTTCTTCAAGATTTAGATATACACAGTCATATCACATTCATCCGATGGTCTGCTTGACATAGTCATATCAGTAGATCCTGAAATGTTCTGCATGCCCTGGAAGGAGGTCTACTTACTGCAGATAAAACAGGGTTTGTGGAAACTTCTCCCGTTACATTGAATCTCCTCAGCATGGTAGACGGTCTTCTCACATGCAGCACATTTGGCACCACCACCCAGGTGTGGCATTGTACCAACCAGACAATTAACTAAATCAAAGAGAGAAGGAAATATTATCTTTATAATATAAGCATAACCTTTACATCAAATTTTCTTTCTATCAGCTGGGTTTTGAGCAATCTCTCTGTTAGTACAGCAGGTGGTTTGTTCACAATTAGGGTCTGTTGATCTAATGGTCTGTTCACCTATTAGTTCAGCTGGTGGTGTTAGACCAGCTTTAGATCAGTCCTTCGTAGATAAATACTGCTGATGGTATGTTGTCATGGTGGTCTTTTTCACTGGTGAGTAGTCATATAATCACAATCAGTTAGTGGTCAGCCCTGCTGGGGGTCTCTTTCACTAGCGAAAATTATTTTTATTAAATTTGGTCAGTCCCATTGATGGTCTGTTTTACTGGTGATTAGTCCATTGGTCTCGGTTGGTGGTCAGTCCTGTTGGTGGTCTCTTTTATAGGTGATTTGTCCATCAGTCTCAGTTGTTGGTCAGTCCTGTTGGTGGTCTCTTTTATTGGTGATTAGTCCATCGGTCTCGGTAGGTGGTCAGTCCTGTTGGTGGTCTGTTTTACTGGTGATAAGACCATCGGTCTCGGTAGGTGGTCAGTCCTGTTGATGGTCTGTTTTACTGGTGATTCATCTATGATTTTCGGTCAGTTAGTGGTCAGTTCTGCTGCGATCTCACCAAGCACCATTACAATATCATGCTCTTGTCAGTCCCCCAATCCTCCTTGTAGCTTCTGATACTTATCTCAGTCTCAACTAACCTTGGTATTACTAGTTTTGTCCTCACCTGGCTCTCATTTAATCTCAGTAATAATCTTTAACAACACATTCACCACACATCCCTCTACCAGTTGAGAGTCCTACAAGGCCTTCTCTCTACACAGCCCCTCTACTTCTAACATTCATTTCTTTACAGATGACACTCAGACTGCTTCACACCTGGTCTCTCCTTTCACCTCTCTGTTATCATCTCCTTTGCCTCACATTTTCTGCAGATAAACCCAACAAGAACTAGGGTGTCTCTTCTCTGCACGACTCATCTTGTCATATTGATCACCTGCTACTTCCTACCCTTTTTCCACTATTTCCATCATCCATAGCATTAGCCTTGGTCTCGTCTTTGATTCCTCTCTCCATTTGACAAACATTTATTCTCTCTTGCTTCTCATCTGCACCTTTTATCTCTTTACTATCAAGAGGATTCACCCTCTTTATCGCCTTCACCACCACTCAACTGTTTATCTGCTCTCTCATCTTCACCAGACTGGTCCACTGCAATGTAATCCTCCTCAGCTACTCTTAACACCCCATCATCACTCTTCAACAAATTCGGAATGCCCTTGACATCTTGGTTTACTCCACTCACTTCAGATGTATCAAATCTTTATTGTCCAATTCCTTACTCCTTATACAAATCTCTTGCATGCAATCTCTCGATCACTCAGCTCCAAGTTTAGACTAATTCAGCCTTTCTACACCCTAAAACCCATAACCCTATCCCGTCAACCATGCAGATCTTTTCCAGTTTTGTTCATTCTCCTGAATACCCGCCTATTCACAAAGACTCTGTTTCACATCTCATATACAAATACACTCTCATTTCACATATCTGTACTATTTAATGATCAGTGCTCTTACGTTATATGTCCCATAACAATTGTATAATCTGCCCATTAATCTGTATAAATAAATAAGTGCAATTAGCATCCAACCAATTCTATAGTTTTAGAAACTCTGGTAATTTTAATGTCTTCTGCAGTCACAACGTATTATCAATCAACTTATTAATGGATGTATTCCTGTAAATGTATGCAATAGGCCCTTAATAAAGGCATTAAGTGTGAAATGTTAAATATATGAATCTAAATCTAACTCAGATTATCTATAGGGAATAGTTTTTTCCACGTTTCATACAAAATACAAATTCCCTTAAATTATACAAATTATACAAAAAATCCTGCACTCTTCATCACGCAGTTTACACTTATTGCTCAAAATGAGACGTTTATTCACATCATCAGAAATTGTGGAGAAATGACGAAGGATGTTGCAAATTTTGGGCTAAAGTAAATGATTTAGGGAAATAAAATCCTACTATATGATTTTTCACTCTCAGCTAATTTAAACAGTAAAATCATTATTGTAGTTCCCCGCAATTTTGATTTAGTGAATTGTATCAATTATTAAACTAACTTAAATAACAAATCACATCCTGACCCTTACGGATAAATAAAAGCACTATTTGTGAACAGGTCCCAAAATACATTTCTAGATTCACAAAGAACGAATATTTAAATTCCGTTTGATGGTAATTAAAAGATTCTGGATTTAGCTTTAGGAGCAGTGTCTGAAAAAGCATCCTAGTATAATTTAATCCTATTTGTAATCCTGAAATGGATGAAAATTAGGAAAGTATATAAATTTGATAATAAATATATTCTACGTACCAGTTAAGCGGACTTGCTCTCTCTAGGGCTAGGAGGTTGTGGCGTGTGTAGAGGTTTCTGGACTCTTTAAATTGCCCACAAAGTGCCTTTTTTGGGTGATGAGTGACAGGCAGGAGCAGCTCTGAAATCACAGCTCTCAAAATAACTCCTGAGCGAAGTCTGCATTTCTCCCCTAATACTCAGAATGCGAGATCTGGATAACAATGCTGGAATCACACTGGGAACAGACCTTTCTAGATACAGGATACTGTGTCAACGGTTAACCCCATCAATGCCCACCAGGGTAGTAGAAAGCAAGATCTGGATAAGAATGCTGGAATAGCAGAGGCCGGACATTTCCTAATACAGAATCCAGATTCATTCTCATTTAATAACCCCTTAATCTCCAGCAAAGTCCCAGAGAATGAGACATGGAGAAAAATACTGGAATCACACTGGGACTAGAAATTTGAGGCTAAATGATAACGACTTATTAACCTCTTCATGTCACAATGGAATGATATTTAACCCTAAGCTTGCTGACTGTTATTATAAGACTTTCTCTTCATTACTACATCATTACATTACTACAAAACTCTTTATGTTACTAGGAAATTCTTTGTCGTTCAGCTTGGAAATGTAGTAAACTTGACTACAACTCAACAAACATTAGAATAAACAATATATATGTAAAAAAGTATCTAGTGATTTCGTGAAATCTAAAATTTTAAATTCATATTGAATTCTCAGCAATATATATTTTAGTAGGTATTTTTGCACTGAACCTCTCACATTTGTAATTTTACATCAGCTCAAAAAAGCAACACAAATGAACAAAACAGGAACAATAAATAAAGTATTTGTATTGTAATAACTGTGCATTTTCAAGCATTCAGCACTTTAACATTACTGGCATTACCAAAATAAAATAGAAATATTAGATAATAATAATAATATAATATAATACTTAGGATGATTGCACTAATGAAATGGCAACTGAATTGTGCTAACTCCATCCTTCACTGCTTTTATTTTAGCCTCAAGAGCTTGCAATCCATACATTTGTTAGTTTAGTAGAGTTGCCCCATTATATACAACATGGTTCTTTTTGCTGTACTATCATTTATATATAACTTCAACTTTAGGACTAAAAACACTAGAAAGTGTTCTCTGAAATTTCCATATGTACATTTTATTGATATTCCAGATTTCCAGTATCTGCCAAGGAAAATCTTACTTCTTCCACATCAGAGAGGCAGAGAATTCTTCTCAGGTTCATTAAGAGGGGAAAAACTACAGAAATCTGATTTAAGTTTGTAGTTATGTGGCATGGTGTAATAAGGCAAGCCTAGTTTGGGGTTTTTCCTCTAAAATGGACACCTTCCCCCATGGAAATCCCAGTTTTGAAGTGCAGAATCATATAGGGAACCTGAGATTGTTTTACAAATTGCATTTATTAATTAAACTGTGAATTGAGGGAAATTAACGAATGAATTGCAAATATTAGATCAGAACAGAAACTTGGAAGAACAGCTGAACTGAAAATAGTTTTAGGACTCGTCAGTGAAATTTGAGAAGGGGGTCAATGTATGCCTTTAATTTGGGAAAAACTGAAGTCTGAGGTGGTTTAATTTATTTAAGAGCTAAATAAGGGGCATTTGAGACCATTTCCAATCAATTCTTTAGATGGCCTTCAATTTATAGCTCAGAAGGAACAATTCATAGAGAAGTTTGCCAAATTCAAAGGATTCCAAATTTAGAGGATATCTTCTGGTTGATTTTGTTTCGAAATGATTGCCTGTGGCGTTTGTATGATGTACCAAAGTACAGAAAGAAATGGTACGAAATTCACGAACCATGGATTTTAAATTTGCTTTAGCACCAACTATTTTTCACAGAGCTCAATATAGTAACGAGTATTACAAGCATGCGGCTATCTGTATTATAAGACTTTATTCACTAAATGACAAACTGTAGGAAATTGAAATGGAGTTGGAAAATTCAGGCAAAAAAGGAACATTTCACTTTATCCACTGCATGGCTATTTAAGCCCAAATTCTGTCATTTAGATTTTAGAGGAACACTATAGGATCAAGAACACAAACGCGCCTTCCTGACTCTCTAGTGTTAAACCAGCTACACTGCTCAAAAAAATAAAGGGAACACTTAAACAACACAATGTAACTCCAAGTCAATCACACTTCTGTGAAATCAAACTGTCCACTTAGGAAGCAACACTGAGTGACAATCAATTTCACATGCAGTTGTGCAAATGGGATAGACAACAGGTGGAAATTATAGGCAATTAGCAAGACACCTCCAATAAAGGTGTGATTCTGCAGGTGGTGACCACAGACCACTTCTCAGATCCTATGCTTCCTGGCTGATGTTTTGGTCACTTTTGAATGCTGGCAGTGCTTTCACTCTAGTGGTAGCATGAGACGGAGTCTACAACCCACACAAGTGGCTCAGGTAGTGCAGCTCATCCAGAATGGCACATAAATGCGTGCTCTGGAAAGAAGGTTTGCGGTGTCTGTCAGCGTAGTGTTCAGAGCATGGAGGCGCTACAAGGAAACAGGCCAGTACATCAGGAGACGTGGAGGAGGCCATAGGAGGGCAACAATCCGCCACCTCAGCAGGACCGCTGCCTCCACGTTTGTGCAAGGAGGAACAGGATGAGCACTGCCAGAGCCCTGCAAAATGACCTCCAGCAGGCCACAAATGTGCATGTGTCTGCTCAAACAGTCAGAAGCAGACTCCATGAGGGTGGTATGAGGGCCCGACGTCCACAGGTGGGGGTTGTGCTTACAGCCCAACACTGTGCAGGACGTTTGGCAAATTCGCCACTGGCGCCCTGTGCTCTTCACAGATGAAAGCAGGTTCACACTGAGCACATGTGACAGACGTGAGAGTCTGGAGACGCCGCGGAGAACGTTCTGCTGCCTGCAACATCCTCCAGCAAGACCGGTTTGGCAGTGGGTCAGTGATGGTGTGGGGTGGCATTTCTTTGGGGGGCCGCACAGCCCTCCATGTGCTCACCAGAGGTAGCCTGACTGCCATTAGGTACCGAGATGAGATCCTCAGACCCCTTGTGAGATCACTGGTGCGGTTGGCCTTGGGTTCCTCCAAATGCAAGACCTCATGTGGCTGGAGTGTGTCAGCAGTTCCTGCAAGATGAAGGCATTGATGCTATGGAGTGGCCCGCCCGTTCCCCAGACACTAATCCAATTGAGCACATCTGGGACATCATGTCTCGCTCCATCTACCAACGTCATGTTGCACCATAGACTGTCCAGCAGTTGCCAGATGCTTTAGTCCAGGTCTGGGAGGAGATCCCTTTAGGAGACCATCCGCCACCTCATCAGGAGCATGCATGGGCGTTGTAGGGAGGTCATACAGGCACATTGAGTCAAACAATTTTGACTTGTTTTAAGGACATTACATCAGTTGGATCAGCCTGTAGTGTGTTTTTCCACTTTCATTTTGAGTGTCACTCCAAATCCAGACCTCCATGGGTTGAAAAATTTGATTTCCTTTTTTTAATTTGTGTGTGATTTTGTTGTCAGCACATTCAACTATGTAAAGAACAAAGTATTTCAGAAGAAGATTTAATTCATTCAGATCTAGGATGTTATTTTTGTGTTCTTTATTTTTTTGAGAAGTGTATTTAGTTCTCGTGTCCCCCTTAAAGCTAGTAAAACTCATCTTTTTTCCAGTGCCACGTGGGTCTGCCGACACTGGCTCCACCCCTGGTCCACCTCCTTGGATTGGCTGAGAATGTCAATTTTGATCTCAGCCGAGGAAGTGGGGGTGGAGCCAAACATCATCCAGCCAATCAGAATCTCCTCAGAGATACATTGAATCAATGCATCTCTATGGGGAAAGTGCAGAGTGTGGAGACGCTAAACGTCCCAGGAAGCACCTCTAGCAGCCATCTGATGAGTGGCCACTGGAGGTGTCCCTAGGGAGCAATGTAAACACTGGAACAAATACATTAAGATGTAGTTGTTCTGGTGAATAGTGTCCCTTTAGCTACAATTTGGGGTAATTCCCTATAATCTATATCAGACTTTGCTAACACTGGCTCTTTAAATGTCCGTTTACCCTTGACATATGACCAGAGGGAGTACTCATATTAGGGAGGACAGAGCTCTAAGAATGTAAACATGGTTATTAACCAAACTGAGAATTGTCAGGAATTCAAAATTAAATACAAATAAATAACCTCTTTCCCCCCCTAAAGGTGGTTAGTGGATTTAACACACGTAGTATACACCACTTTTACAGGGTGGTCTGGAGAGTTTGATTTTCCATCCCTTTACTTAGATAACGGGTGGTAGTGACTGACAACCTTATGGAAACAACTTATCACATCTCGCTCTGCACATTCCTTTCTTCCATCTCACACAGAGCCACCTCCAGCGTGACCAAGTAACATTTATCTGGCAGAGGCGACATGTACAGAAATGGAGGGAATTTCTTTATGACATGCTTAAGAGGTGGTTTTAGCCACTGAGACCCACTGCCATGGTGTCTTTACAGAAGTCAGGTGTGTAGAAGGGGAACAGTACAGGTCATAGCTCGTGAGCAGTTTTTCAAGATCATCTAATATTGCCAAGTGCAGATTTTTAGTTCCATAGATATGACAAAAAAAACGAGCCAGATTAGTATATTTATGAATATTTTCCACAATTCCTATTTTTTTTTTTTTTTTAAACAGCGGTCCCCTTCCATTCATTCTGCAGATATCCGGCAGCTTATATTCTGTGATATCTGAATCCAGTGTAATAGTTCCAAGCTGAGAAAGTATCTCTGCCAAAATATAGCACACCAGTTCAGTAAGAAAAGTGAACCAACACATTCAAGAAAGACATTACATTTTATTCAAAATATTTTTATAAATAGGACATTATTCACCATGTTCTTGATTGGAAAAGAATACAAGATATAATACATATATATTTTAAAAAAAAAAATAAAAAAAGGGAAAACCAGAAACAAACACTTTTACATGGAAAATATAGAATGTAAAATCATTTACAATCAAATTATACCTTGCTTAAATATACAGTTTTTATTTATATATCACAGTCATTGTATTGTGCAAAATGTGGGCAGGACATGGCTCAGTCCAGATACATTCAAACATTTGGATAAAGTAAGCACCTTGCAACAAATTCAACAAGTACAAAGTCAAAGAAAACTGGGAAAATATAGACTTTGATTAATACCGCTCGTACATCCATGGTGTTTTAATATAAATGCCACGGCCTCTTGCTACAGAATGCATTCACCACCCATACACCATGCAAATGG